TCATTGGATGGTGCCGGGTTCTAGTTTAGGAGGGAGAAAAACATCTCTACCCACTAATCTTCACACATAATTGGATTCACAGGTTTTGCTCCCCATTGCTCACCTCCCACCTAAACTAAAAAGCCCCTAATACAGGGGAATCCCCACTTGCACAGGAGGAGGATTACGTGAAAGAGCATCTCCACCCCCATTGTTCTGCTTGGACACTGAGGTCCAGCGCCGAGGGCCTTCTGGCGGTTCCCTCGCTGTGAGAAGCCAAGTTACAGGGAACCAAGCAGAGGGCCTTCTCGGTAGTGGCACCTGCCCTGTGGAACGCCCTCCCACCAGATGTCAAAGAGAACAACAACTACAGTACCAGACTTTTAGAAGACATCTGAAGGCAGCCCTATTTAGGGAAGCTTTTAATGTTTAATTAAATGTATTTTAGTGTTCTGTTGGAAGCCACCCAGAGTGGCTGGGGAAATGGGGTATTATTATTATTAATAATAATAATAATAATGGGATGCAGGTGGCGCTATGGGTTAAACCACAGAGCCTAGAGTCGGCGGTTCGAATCCCCGTGACGGGGTGAGCTCCCGTTGCTTGGTCCCTGCTCCTGCCAACCTAGCAGTTTGAAAGCATGTCAAAGTGCAAGTAGAAGTCCGGCGGGAAGGTAAACGGTGTTTCCGTGCACTGCTCTGGTTCGCCAGAAGCAGCTTAGTCATGCTGGCCACATGACCCAGAAGCTGTACGCCGGCTCCCTCGGCCAATAAAGTGAGATGAGCGCCGCAACCCCAGAGTCGGTCACGACTGGACCTAATGGTCAGGGGTCCCTTTACCTTTTATTTATTATTATTATTATTATTATTATTATTATTATTATTATTATTATTCTGTTCCTAGCTGCCACATGCATCATCAGGACACGTGAGTGGGGGGTCCTGCATTCTGCCACCGCCCTGCCCCATTGGGCCCCCGTTTCTGCTCCCTTTTGGCACTGCGAATGTTGCATGCATCTGCGGGAGTGCACGTGCTGATCGTGCACACCTGGGGAGTTGCTGGTATTTTAACCTTTCCTCAAAGGGGAGTTGATCCCGCTCCTCCAGGAGATTTTGGGACGCTCTTTTTCAGAATCCCGGTTTCCTGAAAAACCGGATCTAGCTAGTGCTCAGTTCCACAGCGCCATCCCAAGGTGTTCTGAAAGCTGCTAGTGACAAACATGTGTTGGCTGCAAGTGTGCTGGGAATTATTTTACACCTCCACTTTCTGTTCCATTGCCGCTGTCTCTTATGGTTGTGGAAAGTCACGATTTAAGGCGATGCCCTCTGACAGCATCTAGCAGAACAGATGCATATTCCCCTCTTGTCCTTTTAACCCAACAGGGTCAGACAGTGAACAAGGCATAAAACCTCAGACAGACACAAATAAATATTAAGATGCTGAAACTACCTTGAAATCTTAAAACCAGTGATTTATTTTGTGGGGTGGAAAGGCCAGAGAATTTCCCTTCTCCGATCGGCCGATTCCTTAGCTTTCAGTGTTCCCAAGCTGGCAAATAGGTCCCCCCCCTGTGGTTTCGTGCTAAATATATTGCTACTCTCTGTTGACCTAGACTGTGGCTGTGAGAATGAAGGTCTTTAGGCCTGCAAACAACAAACGCCTGTGTGTTTCTGGACTTGCAGGAAAGGTTCTATTACGCATGCATGTGCCCTAAACCTTTAAGGGATGGAAGGCTGTGGTTCTCCAGTTTAGTTAAAATGGTACCACTGAAAAAGGAACAGAGCCTTTATAAAGTTCATTTAACTAGTTCAAGTTCATCCTGTCCAAAAAAGGAATCCAGTTCATCCCTTTGTAAAACTAAGCAGTTCTGCTCACTGTTCATACAAATGATGCTCTGCGAAAAATGTTTTGCATTCAGAATGTTTCAAGCTTCTGGGCTGAAGTATAAAATATGCTTAGCCCCCTTCTATTTTGTACATATAAAGCAGTATCATCATCACTTGAAATAGACTAGATTGGCCTTTGACCTGTTGCAGCAGAGCTCTTCTTGTGGGCTTGCTTCCTGCAGATGAAGCTACAGTGGTACCTCGCAAGACGAATGCCTCGCAAGACAAAAAACTTGCAAGACGAAAGGGTTTTTTGTTTTTTGAGCTGCTTCGCAAGACTATTTTCCCTATGGGCTTGCTTCGCAAGACGGAAACGTCTTGCAAGTTTGTTTCCTTTTTCTTAACACCGTTAATACAGTTGCGACTTGACTTCGAGGAGCAACTCATAGAACGCGGTGTGGTAGCCTTTTTTGAGGTTTTAAAAGACTTTGGTGATTTTTGAAGCTTTTCCAAAACTTTCCCGACACCGTGCTTCACAAGACGAAAAAAATTGCAAGACGACAAAACTCACGGAACGAATTAATTTTGTCTTGCGAGGCACCACTGTATATCCCTTTCAGGAAAGGTTATGACATTTGGGGCTTCTTAGGTTAGACACAGCGGTTCTCAACCTGTGGTTCCCCAGATGTTGTTGAACTTCAACTCCCATCATCCCTGAGCTCTGGCCTTGCTAGCTAGGGGTGATGGGAGCTGTAGTTCAACAACATCTGGGGACCCACAGGTTGAGAAAGGCTGGGTTAGAGGAAAGGTGAGGAAGAGGGGACATGATAAAAGAGCACAGAATTATGTGTGTTATGGAGAATTAAAACTTCACTCCTCTGTCAAAACACTAGAACTTCGGGATTTGTTGGATTAGTCCCCAAGTCCAACTCCAACTCAAATCCAACTCAGTGGTGTAATGTTGGAAAATGTTGATCATTTCTCCTACCTAGGCAGTTATCTTTCCACAAGGGTCAAAATTGATGCCGAAATCCAGCATCGCCTGAGTTCTGCGAGTGCAGCTTTCTCCAGATTGAAGTGCAGAGTGTGTGAGGACCGGGACATTCGCAGGGAAACCAAAATGCTTGTTTACAAAGCTATTGTACTACCAACCTTACTGTATGCTTGTGAAACGCTATCTCCAACTCCTTGAAAGATTCCAACAGTGGTGTCTCTGAAAATTTTTACGCATCACTTGGGAAGACAGGTGAACTATTGTCAGTGTACTGGAAAAGGCAAGTATCACCAGTGTCAAAGCAGTGATTCTTCAACATCAACTTTGTTGGACTGGTCATGTTGTGACTAAAAATATACTACTAAAAAAATGTAGTATAAACACCAGCAATTGGGAAATACTTGCCTGAGAGCGCTCCAGTTGGAGAACAGCCCTTACCAAAGGTGTCATGGGCTTTGAAGACACTCGAACTCAGGATGCAAGGGAGAAACGTGCTAAGAGGAAGGCACGCTTGGCAAATCCACACCATGATCAACTCCCGCCCAGAAACCAATGTCCCCACTGTGGAAGGACGTGTGGATCCGGAATTGGCCTCCACAGTCACTTAGGGACTCATTGTTTAATCCGTGTTTATGGAAGACAATCTTACTCGGCTACGAGTGATCGCCAATGAAGAACTTGGGGATATCTAATGCAGCTGAATGTTGGAAGATTCAGGACAGACCGAAGAAAAGACTCTTCATCTCAGGCTCGCGGGTTCAAGCCCCACATTGGGCAAAAGATTCCTGCATTGCAGGGGGTTGGACGAGATGACCCTTGTGATCCCTTCCAACTCAACGATTCTGATTCACGCAGCGCATTGCTAAACTATGGGATCTGCTCCTTGAAGAAGCAGTGATGGCCACCAATTTGGATGGCTTTAAAAGAGGATTTTAAATCCTGGAAGACAAGGCTATCTGATTTTTAGAAGACATCTGAAGTTTATAGGGAAGTTTTTAATGTTTGATGTTTTACCGTGGTTTTATATTTTGCTGGAAGCTGCCCAGAGTGGCTAGGGCAACCCAGTCAGATGGGCAGCATATAAATAAAGCATCATCATCATCATCAATTGCTACTGGACCTGATGACTATGTTCTGCCTCTACTGCCAGGAGTGGGGAAGGAGTATGAATTGCTGGGAACTGCAGGTGGGGAGAGGCCTGTTGCACTCAGATGCTGTTTGCACTCCCCATAAACACCTAGACCGGCCACTGCAAGAACAGGATGCTGGACTAGGCGGGTCACTGGCCTGATTACGGGCTTAATTCTTGGGAAGAAGGCAGGCAAATGCCCTGCTGCAGCTGCAACCCTGTGCCAAGTGAGCCCCGTGGAACTTACTAAGCAAACATTGCACGCAGTTATTTGCACCACTTTTCCTTGCAGGCCTGTCTTGTGCAGAGTGTGGAGGTGCAGACGCCTGTCAAAATAAATGGGCACCCTTTGCAGAAAGCTCTGCCAGTTGGCACCGAAAGCAATGCCCAAGCACAATTGCACAGAAACAAGCCCCCTCCAAAAAAGTGTGTAAATACTCTCCAGGTGTGTGGATCTGTGATGATAAGCCCCCATCCCACACATGGTTAGTACAACCTGAACATGCCAGGCCTTCCTTCCCAAGAGTAGGAGTGCTTAGGACAAGGTAATTTGACTGTGACCTGTAGCAGCAGCACCACGAGGTGCTCGCTGCCTGGAGGCTGTGGTGGAGGTGCCAACCAACGGGAAATCCATGTGCTATCTGAGTCTCTCTCTCTCTCTCCTTTAGTTCCTCACTCACCCGGTTTGCAGAGCAGTGCAAGGACTAGCAGCAAACACTGCCCGATCCTCCGGCTCCCTCCCCTCTCGAACAGGAGCTGGTGCACACTTGCACGAAAAGGAGAGGGGGAAAAAGAGGGGCGGGGGCTAACGCATTTCCTCTCCGAGCCCCCTTCCTCCCACCGACCCAGGGTGGGGGAGGAAGAAAGAGGCTAGAAAATCCTCGCCAGGTCTGCTCGCTCGAGCTTTCTTCTTCGCGGCTCGCCGATCTCACCGGGACCTTTTCGTTTTGCAAAGGCACCGCGCGAAGCGAAGGAGGAAGAGGTTTCTCCACCCCCACCCCCCGTCTGGGGCTTGCTCTCCTGCGCAGCCCTCCAAAACTTTCCCGCTTTGCATCGGCTGTCGTTCCCCCACCTTCGGCTCCTGCGATGAGCGGCAGTCGCCTCCTCCTCGTCCCCAGCCATGGGGGGCGGCGGCGATCGGCGGCTTCTGCTCGGGATCCCGCCGGCAAGGATCGCCCCAGCAGGAAGGCGGAGTGAGAAAGGCGCGCGGAGCGGCAGCATCAAGGAAGCGGCGGCGGAGGCGCGGGGAAGAAAGGCGGCGGGAGAGGGAAGGAATTCCCAGCAGCAGCAGCCTCCGGCCCGCCCGCCCTGCGCGCCTCCTCCCCGGGCCGAGCGGCGAGGGCGCCCCGCAGCACCCATGGCCTAAGAGGAGCACCAGCCTGCAGCCCTCCCGGATATAGAAAGCCCCATGCCTGGCCAGCCTTCAGCAATACTTAGGGTCTTGGGTTGCCTTCTTTCAAAAAACAGAACAAAACCTGGGCTGGAGGAGACTGGATTCTCCAAACCCTTTGAAACGCATTACAACCTTCTTGAGCCCAACTCCTCCTGAATTACCATTGTTTCCACTTTTACAGCAACAACATTCGCTTCTTTTGCACGTAGCCCCTCAAACCTACTTCAGCTTGGCTTTTGTTTTTTAGGGGAGTAGGGGGAAAATATATTTCGGGACACTTTTTTGGTAATTCCCTCCCCTTGCAAGGGCGCTGTTTGGGGGCATCGCTATACTTGCGCGCGCGCGGAAAACTAGCAAATAAAAGTATTTGGAGGGGTGGGGGTGGGAAGGGGTTGGGAGTTGCATTTCCTCCCCCACCTGGAGAGAAAGTGGGAAGGGAGAGAAGAAAAAGACCTCTCGCTATGGCTGGGAGCAGCGACTGTGCGAGCAGGGTCCGGAGCCAAGGCAGCTGGAGCTCGGGCGAGGAGAAAAACTCTCCGTCTGCAGCGGCGGCAGAGGGAGCCTTAGGCGCCGGTTGCAACGGCTGCTGTTCCTCTGCTGGGCCGGAGGAAGTGGAGAGCAGCAGCAATGAGAAGAATGACCATCATCCCCATCGGGTAGGAGGCTGGAGGAGTGGCGAAGAAGAGGCTCTTCCCAAGGTCTGGACGTGCTGCAAACTTTCCTGCGCTCTGGGCGCAGGCTCGCTGGCTCTGCTCTTGGCGCTCGGGACCCGCTTGGTGCGCAGCGCCGGCGAGGAAGAGGCGGAAGAAGAAGAAGGAGGAGGAGAGGCCGCTGAGGGCGACGGGGCGCCCGGCCCAGGTGCGAGCTGGCCCCCGATCCCGGGCTCGGCGCTGTGCTGCCTCCTCCTGGCCGCCTATTTCTGGCTGGGCTGGGCCTTGCTGCGCGCCGGGGTCCGCTTGCGCACGGCGGCGCTGCTCGTGGCCGCCTGCTGCGTTGGGGAAGCGCTCGCGCAGCTGGCCTTGGCCCCCGGGGAGGAGCGCCTGCTCTCGCTGGCCGCCAGTGGGGTGGTGCTGGGCTGCTTGGCCGGCGGGACATGGCTAGCGCTGCGGCTCCGCCACGGCGTGCTCATGATCGCCTTGACTAGTGCCCTGCGGATCGCCTCGCTCGCCTCCCTGGAGAGCATCCGCGCGCCTTGGAGACCTTACCTGGCTTATCTGCTCGCCTTGCTGGGCATCCTTGGCGCAGGCTACGCGCGCCACGCCTTGCGCCGCCGCCGCGCCGCCGGGAAACAGGAGGAGGCGGAGGAGGAGGAGGAAGGCACCGAAGGGGCGGAAGGAGCGGGCTGTGGCGCTGCTGCTGCTGCTGCCCGGCCGGCCAAGGAAGAGGTGCAGGTTTTTAAGCGCAGGAGGAGATCCAGTTCGATGATCTCCGCCGAGATGGCTGGCTGCGGCAATAAGTCCCATCGCAGGACCTCCTTGCCTTGCATCCCCCGAGAGCAGGTAAGGAGAGATGGGCGAGGGGATTGGAGAGGGGCTCTTGGATGGAGAGGGGTGTGTGCGGGCGGGATGGGAAGCAGGAGTGAGAGAGAAAAGAGACTTTTGCAAAAGCCCACTGCTGCTTTTTATTCTTGGCAAGGGGCGCGCGCAACTTTGGGAAGGAAACTTCTACGTGTTCAAACTTTTTTTGCACTCGCCATCCCAGTTCTCCCTTGAAAGCAGAAACCACGGTTCTCGGCATCCCAGAATAGTAATTTAAAAAGGCACTGACGCAGAAGGGACCAGACATTTCGACAACCATTTGGCCCTTCGCGTTCCTCCTCTTGCGTTTTTTTGGCTTTTGTTTTGGACAGGACCATATTCTGTTGTGTGGGTGACCATGTGCATTGCATAATTTAAAATCTCTCTCCGAAGATGATGCGGAGAATAATTGCTCAGCTGGGAACTGGGAAAACAGATGTTCGTATGATTTTTCTTTCTAAAGAAAAGTGTAGTTCATCTGTACAGTTCTGTGCACATTGGAGTCCTAGAGATGTTGCTGTGTTTAATGTCCAGTGTTCCTTTAAGGCACGTCTTCACTACAGAAAGAACAGATGTTCAGTGCTGTTATGTTTGGGCCATGTTTCGTGCCGAATAGTTTGAATGCATCCTTTTAACTTTGAGGCCCATAATGGCGCAGCTGCCACTTTTGCACACCTAGCTTTTAATCTTGCATTTTGGATTCTGCAGATGAGACAGCTTACATTCTGTCCAGTATCGCCTCATTTTTTTTTTTTTTTACAGTGGATGCGCAGCTTCTATTTATTTGAGTTTGGCTGCAGAAAAAGAAAACGTTGTGGGAATCGGAAGGTTAAGATGTTTTGGAAACTTTTCCGTAACTTGTGGAAATCTGTGTAGAAACTGAGTTTCTTTGTGAAACAAGGGGAAATGTTGAAAATAAACACCCTGGAAACATAACATTGCATTTGAGTTAGCCTGAATTGCTTTTTAAAAAAAGACCTGCAGTGTGATACACAACTCGGTGGAGCTGAGGTATTCACATTTAACTCTGTTTTCGAGCATTTAAAGTTCTTGCCCATGGATTTTGAAGACACCAAGGTCCAGATCCTAAGTACCTTGAGCCTCAACATGTTTTCTTGGAAGTAAGCCACACTGAACTTCAAGTAAATGTGTATAGGATCACAGCTGTACTTGCAAGCAAGCTCAATTCATGAGTCTTTCACTTAGCATGCTAAGAACCAGTCTTGGTAGTCCTCTTTAATCCAAGTATAAGTGGTTTGTTGTTTAGTTCACCCAGATGGCAAGATGGAATAATATTTTTCAGTAGATTCTGCAGGGGTGATGTCTTCTTTCGTCGTGGCACGAACTCTTTCAGTATTGCACCCAAATCTTAATAATGTAGTGTGGAAGCAATTCTCAGTTATTTTTAGTGAGACTTATGGTACTTCCTAGGAGTTGTTTCCGAATCAAGGGGTGGGATGTTAGGTAGCCTGAGATCCAAAACACACTTACTTGGAAGTAAGATCAGTTAAACCCATGGGATTTTTTTTCTCATTGAAATGTGCTTGGTGTCAGGTGCTAGTTAACTCTGTGCGAATAAAGTTTAGTATTGTCAACCAAAGGGATATTTTTGTGTCCTTGGAAGCAAAAGTGGTTATTTTCCAGGCAATGACATCTAACCATTTGGTGTGGATCACAGGGTTTTTTCCTCCCTCACCCCTCTTGGACTGGGTAGATTTACATGGTTTTGTGGTTGCTCGGGACATTTTCTCAGCTATACATCTTTGAGGTTTAATTTGCCACAAGTGCATTTTGTTAAAAAAAATATTCTGGAATAAAATTTATATTGAGCACACTTTCAAAGTGAAAACAACATGAAGAAAAACTTGGGAAACTGACCTGGATTCCTGTGCTTTGCCGTGTTATGTGACGCATGTTAAAATGTGAAACCCCACATTATTATTATTATTATTATTTTTAATTATGTCAAAAGAGACTATTATTGAATAGCAGGTGATTCGAGCTTTATTTTGTTTTGAAATTTTAATGTGCGACTGCCAGGACCGTCCCACTACTTTCTGTAGCACTTTAGATAACGGTGACTTTCAAGAAAACATGTTTGTATTTAATCACTTCAATGTGGTCTGTTAAACTCTATTCCGGCTGCTGTCATTTGCTTACAACAGCTTCTGAGATCGCCTTCTTTCATAATGTATGGAGTTAAGGATACAAGAGGCATGAAATGAGTGGTGTCAAACATCAGTGCTGTTGAGTGGCTTATAGTTTATGAGTTTGCAGGACATTTTGAGGGTCCCTGATCGATACAGAGAACTCGAATCGCCGCCGCTTACATCTTCAGGAATTCTAAAGCAACTTGTTCCTTTCGGCTTGTTGACCGCAAAACAGACTTGTCATTTGCGAAGGGAAGAAATGGATAATTGTGGGTTATGAACAGACCTTTGCTAAATGCTGCATTCATACTGTAGTACAGTATTTAAATTATACTTTAAACTCATTGATTTAGATTTGTAAATTGTGCCTCCCCCCCCCCCGCACCACAAACACACACACAAGGTTTTGTAAATGTTGGTTTTAAAAGTATGTAAATATTGCATTGAGAATCAGCACCGTCGGTGTTAGCCCTATATAGAGGATGAGGGTACAATGGCAGAATGTGTGCCTTGGTGTATTTTTGTAAATGAACATTTAATATTTGAAAGTGAATGTTCGTAGGAGGTAGAGAAAGATGCAGTCTTAAAGATGACACCCCCACAAAAACAAACAAACAAAAAACCCCACCTTGTGATATGGTAACTCTTTCAGGCCTGTGAAACAACTGGATTTTACTGCATAGTACATACAAAAAGTTCAGGGTCTGAATCTGAATAGTCAGAAAACAATATGCACAAGTGATTGAAATAACAGTGTTACTGCAGGATGGCCACATTTTCTCCTAATTTGAATTCCATTGCCCTCTTGAAATGAGGACTACATTCCCTAAAAATAAAACCTACATTGTCACGCTAATTAAGTATAGATTATAATGTTATTTTCATAAATGATTGTTTTTGAATGGGCGAAAAGTTGACTTTTAAGTGTACTTTTCTAACTTGAGGAGGGTCGGGAGATCTGAAATCTGAAAAGATTGTGACTCCTTCCTTACGATGAACAGTGATGCTGGAATTATTTTCTGTATGCCACGGTACATGCATTTTTGAGGAGCAGAGGCCGTAGTCGCAAAACGAGGCACAAGGGATGGTTGCATTGTTCAGCATCCAATTTTGTTCATCTGCAGCAAGTTTTTGCGAAAGGTTTCAACCAAAAAGTAGGAAGAGCAAAGATGTAATGAATTATTGCCATTAACCACTCATGGGCTTTGGATTTGCCATCCACACAAGTAAATTCGGCGGAGGTAATTCTGCTTTTGATATTTCACAGCTGGAGCTGGAACTGTTTTTGTCTCCCCGCCTCTCCGATATATTTACTCTTAGCATCAAGGTTCGTGGTGCATTACAGGAAGAAACAAGGAAGGAAATTGCAATTGAAACTAAGCCTATCGTAGTTGTGACTCCTCAAGTCGAATGCAGCCCCCTTTGTGAGTTTGCTGAGGTTCCTGGTTGTGCTACCTGCCTGGGATCACCCGAGAAGGACATTGCCGGACATTTGGCAGGTCACAGTACCTGGCTGGTGGGCTGCTGTCCCCGTGGCTTGTCACAAATTGTCTAGGTCTCATCTGAAGCTTGACAATGGGGGAAAAGAAGAGAGCGAGGATTGGAATGGTGGAATCAAAACTAACATGGAGGAATGCAAGCAAATGCAGTGTTTGGGCTTAGTTGTGGATGGGGATGCGATATGTGGAAGGATCATAATAGACTCATAGAATTGTAGAGTTTGAAGGGGTCTTGAGAGTTTACCCCCCTGCAACGCAGAAATCTCAATTAAAGCCTTCATGACAGATGGCCATCCAACCTCTGCTTAAAAACCTCCATGGAAGGAGAGTCCACCACCTTCCGAGGGAGACCGTTCCACTGTTGAACAGCTCTTACTGTCAGAAAGTTATTCCTGATGTGTGGTCGGAATCTCCTTTCTTCTAACTTGAAGCCATTGGTTCAAGCCGTTGCCTCCAGGGCAGGAGAAAACAAGCTTGCTCCATCCTTCCCTTTAGATATTTGAAGATGGCTATACAGGGACACGGGTGGCGCTGTGGGTTAAACCGCAGAGCCTAGGGCTTGCCGATCAGAAGGTCAGCAGTTCAAATCCCTGTGACGGGCTGAGCTCCCATTGCTCGGTCCCTGCTCCTAGCAGTTTGAAAGCACGCAGTGCAAGTAGATAAATAGGTACCACTCCGGCGGGAAGGTAAACGGCGTTTCCGTGTGCTGCTCTGGCTTCGCCAGAAGTGGCTTAGTCGTGCTGGTCACATGACCTGGAAGCTGTACGCCAGCTCCCTCGGCCAATAAAGTGAGATGAGCGCCGCAACCCCAGAGTCGTCCACGACTGGACCTTTACCTTTACCTTTACCTTTACCTTTACCCTATCTTTCCTCAGTCTCCTCTTTTCCAGGCTAAACATTCCCAACTCACTCAACTGTTCCTCATAAGGCTTGGTCTCCAGACCGCTGATCATCTTGGTTGCCCTCCTCTGCAAATGTTCCAGCTTGTCAATATCCTTCTTAAATTGTGGGGCCCAGAACTGGACACAGTACTACAGGTGTGGTCTGACCAAGGCAGGATAGAGCAGTCCTATTATTTCCCTTAACCTGGACACTACTTCTGTTGATGCAGCCTAGAATAGCATTATCTTTTTTTGTTTTGTTCAGTGGTAGAACAACTGCTTTGCACACAGGTGATTTCAATCTCCTGCATCTCCAGTTAGAGAGCTACTGGCAGTCAGTGCAGGCAATATTGAGTGGTCTGGCTCGGTATAACCCAACTTCCTGCATTCCTAGCATTTGATCTTAGGTTTGATTTCCCATGGCTGGGCTTGAAAGCTGCATTGTGCAAATG